ACCGCCGCCGCCATGGCTAGTTGAGATGCGTCCGAAAATCCATGAATTTCAATCCTCGAAGTATCGCAACGAAAAACACCGAGCCATCTCGGTATAGAGAGGGGTTCGAGCTGTAATAGTTGTTGTCGAAACGCAGTCCATCTCTCTTGTAAAGTGACAGGAATCAGCTCGTCCCATCCAGTCTTCAACAGCCATAGCTCCTGCAATATGATTTTCGCTCTTATTATAATAGGCGAAATCAGCCCTAGAGGATCATACAACTTGGCTATGTCCGAGGCAATTGCTTTCTTCTGAAGGTGATATTGCCTGGAACTGTGGAAGAAAAATGCAGAGTGTCAGAAAATGGCCGCCAAATGAGACCCAGAAGCTTGCAAAAGGTAGGATCGATTTCTATGTCGGTAGGTCCCCCTTCTTCCTGGTCAGGGAGAAGATCAGGATAGTTGCTACTCCATTCATGCAAGGGAAATTCTCCTGCTTCGCAAAACCCCTTCACTTGCTGTATAATATCCTTAGCTTCTAATGTCGTATCAGATCCCCCATAAATGTTGTCGACGAATCTGCCCTTCTTCATAGGAATGATTGCTTTAGGAAAACGATGACCTTCCTCTTTCACCAATTGCTCTAGAGCTCTCAACGCCAGGAAGGGTGCACATCGTAGTCCGTAAGTCACTGTGGTAAGGCAGTAGGCAAGAAGCTGTTGTTCCGATCCGATCCATAATATTCTTTGTAGGTTCCAATCGTCCTGGTGCACAGCTATCTGACGGAACATTTTAACTATATCCGTAGAGAATAGAACCTTATGGGTACGTATCCAAAGCAGAATATCGCATATGTCAATTTGAAGCTTGGCACCGGCGTGTAGAATATCGTTTAGCGAGAGGCCATTGCTGGTAGGGCTGGATCCGTTAAAAACCACCCTGAGTTTCGTGGTTCGATTATTCTCTCGTAGTACCCCATGATGGGGAAGATAATTCACCACAGAAGTCTGAGCGGAGGAGGCGTCAACCTCTTTCATGTGACCCATCTTCAAATACTCCTCTAGAAAGTGTTCGTAAAGTTGTTGAAAAGTACTTTGATTTGAGAATCGTTGAAACAGGTTCTTAAGACAACCGAGAGCCTTTGCTTTAGAGTCCCCCAAAACCGACAGATTGATTTTTAGAGGGAGTCGAACCACATATCTGCCCGTTGCATCTCGTGAATAGGTTGTTAGAAAGTGTCGTTCGCACTCCTCTTCCTCCTCAGTTAACTCTGCTATAGTCGACTTAGGAATTTCTTCTTGTGTCCAGAATCTGGAAAGAAGATCTTGTAATTCTTGATCCGGTGAACAATGATGTGCATGCGCTGAAACAGGTGTCTCGGCTGCTGACATAGGGCCACAGAGGACCCATCCGAAGATGGTTTGCTGCGCCGTAGGCGAGGAAGAATCGCCTGGTATCATGCCTTGTCGTATCACGACATGAAAATTGTCTGATCCTATTATGACCTGTATTGTTCCAGAGACGTAGTATTCCGGATCGGCTAACTGGAGTCCTGATATATGAGGCCAGGTTGGAGCACTAACGCTGCACGATGGTAACTTCGCCGTAAGACGTGGCAATATGAAGGCTCGTATTTGACATTGTAACGCTGAGTCATGAATGGAGTGCAGTTGTATGAAAACACTCCCCTTTGTATTTCCGGAATAAGTGCCACCAATTCCGAGAAGCGGTATTGATGCGGCCGTTCTAGTGAGTTGGGCTCGTTGCACTAGATCTTCCGTGATGAAAGATAACTCTGATCCCTGATCGATCAATAAACGCACCGGATGGAAATCCCCGTTACTCTTCTTTACCAAAGCTCTACTCGTCGCAAGTAAAGTAAGCTTTCTCGTACGATTTGCCTGTTCGGATTGGTGTGCACATGTCTTTAATTGTCAGTCAGTAGTTACTGATGGATCTGACTTCTCCTCAGATTGATTGGCCGGTTTTGCCGGCGTACTAGTTGGTGTGGTTAAAATTTCTCGTTGATTCTCGTGAAGAGTCGTATGATGCTTTTTCCCGCATTTTAGGCATCGCGTCACGGAGGTGCACTTCTTAACTAGGTGAGGTGCGAGGCAATTGAAGCATCGTTTATGTCTGATGACAATCTCCTTACGCTGTTTAGCCGTCTTCGATTGATAACGTTCACATTTTGCTAGATAGTGCGATGATCCGCATAAAGGGCAAGCAGACGCTGCGGCATGCGCCGCGACCTTCGAATAAGGTTTTCCTGAAGTGGAAGCAGCCGACGTTCTTTGAGTCATATTTGGATTGAGATTCATAGCCCGTGTTCGTCCAGTGAGAAATTCCTCAAATTGTTCGAGGGTTGGATAAGTAGTAGAGGATCCTTGCTTAACCTCCCACGCTTCTCGTGATTCAGGATCAAGCAACTTCACGACTTGGTGAAGCAATAACGGATCCCATTTATCTACCGCACATCCCAGTGAGCGAAGAGCCGCAGTCGTCTCCGATACAGTGGTCATAAAATTTCGAAGGCCTATTGCATTCTTCGTCTTGAATGGCTTCAGACTCGTTATCTTGTCTAATTGCGCCTCAATCAAAAATCGTGTATTCTCATACCTCGATACCAACAAATTCCATGCAATTAAGAAGTTGTCGCCGGAGACATCCAGATTGCCTATCATTCGTGCGGCTTCATCTTTAACGCATGTTTTCAGGTAATGCATTTTTTCGACATCCGTCAGATGGAAGTTATTTTTTATCATAGAGGTAAAAGTGTCATGAAACGTTCTCCAGGTTGGGTAGTCTCCGGAGAAAATCGGCAGCTGAATGCGCGGTAATGCACTGCGTGGCAGTTGCGACGTGGACGCCCCTTGTTGCGATGTGGACGCCCCTTGTTGCGGTGTGGAAGCCTCTTGTGGCGGTGGGGACGCTCCTTGATCTAAAAGCGACGATCTGGAATGTCGATCCGCTGTATCGAATTCTTCTAGCTGGGTGAATAACATGGCACGAGCATAAACATAGAAGGCTTGACAGCGTTCGTATATGCGTTCTCTCAAGTAAGAATGGTCTCTCAGATCCTCGCTGGCGGATAGGCATAGGTTTTCATGCTCTTCTTGAAATTTATTCCAATTCTGCTCAAGCATATCCAGGCGAGCACTGATCAGATGTCGATTCATTCGATCAGCACTCATATTGTCTTGATCCGTCTCGTTCTGTATAAGTGCAAATCGACTCCGTTGCAGAGCGATCCTTCCTTCCATATTTTCCATCTTGCAATGTAGAATTCAGCGTGAAAACAACTTTAAGCTCTGACGCGGTGAGATCCGGCTCGAAGGACCATAAAATGTTCAGGTTATAATAAATTCTCACTCTGGTTCCGCGTCGCTTACC